TATTGTAGTGGAAGCTAAAACCATGGGTTCCTTTAAATCAGAGCTAGATAAGATTTTAACAACTCTGAGCTATTAGCTAAGTTCTCCCCAAACGAGCTTCATGGGCCAAACGGCATCCCCTCGTTTGTAAATTTCTTATGTTCTTATGTTCTTATGTAAACACAGAGGTGAAGCCCAGGATGGGAAACCGATATAAAAGCAGTCTTACATCAGTATAATAAATACAGAATATGAAGCAGCTTATAGAAAAGATGTGTCCTATGTGCAAAACAAACTGTACAAATGCATAGCACACAGATTTGGCAAATAGACAATAAGCCACATCCATCAGGTTCGTATCTAACCATCTTCCATAACTGCTTATTGGGTACGAGGAGTTCCAGAGAGCCAGGAGTCTATCCTGGGAAGCACAGGGCACAGCCCTGGAGGTATGACACTGCAGTGCCCGCTATCGAGTGACTGCACTACCCTAAAATAAACATGTATAACAAAGCAATACATGTCGTACTGCTCATATCAGTAATATATTATACATAACTCTTCTTCAAACCTTGATACTTGAGTACATACGTTTCTTAATACATTGAACGACATATAATTAGCACAATAAACAGGTGCAGACTTTTGATCAGGGCCCTGCAGATAGTGTGATGTCGTGCGATGACATCAGCGGAGACTCCACAGCCGTCTCCCACGTGTCTACAGTGCAAATGTGGCCCCCCTTGCAGTTGTTAACCCCGTAACTCCACATGCAACTTCACAGCAATCAGTTTAAAAGTTAAGGAGGCTTCCATATTGCTGTTTAACACAACACTTTGCAGCTCTACTAGTTAATCACTGACTGGAGTGAAACAACCACAAATAGCTCATTTTGTTTTACCGTGTACAGTGAGCTTAGTACAAAAGCTCATTAATGCACACAGACCAGCATAGCTTCTCATGTAGACGTAATACTTTGACAATTGAACATACGAGGGTTATATTCCCTTGTTACCGACAGACGGGACCACTGAATTGCTGTGTACCCCTAACATTTTTGCCTTTGTAGCTTGATGATATAAGCAGTCTGCTGAAGGCCAAATATGCCGGGGGTTCTCTCTCCAGTCCTGAAAAGGTATGAGAGCTCTTTTTAAAAGATATTTTCATTTTGCAGAACTGTGATTAGTTGGACAGAATATCTGTAGTCAGGTAATTACTCCTGTCACACTGAGGATAAGCTGTAGGGAGACTGGCAATCTCATGTCCCACGGTGACTGAAATCCCATCTCCCGCCCCCAGTGCCCATTATGTAGAGGGTGCGCACATGGCCGCCATAAACATGCAAGACCACCGTTCTCTAATTGTCCCTTTTGTCAATGAGAGAGTCTGGGTGCCACTGAGAGAATCTGGGTGCCGACCTGTCCATCTCAGTTGAAATTAAATCTTCATTTAACTCTTTTTTCATCACTCGACACAGGTGCACAGATGAGTGAAATACTTAAATAAAAACAAATAGTGCAAATAGGAAGTATAACAAAAAAAACAGAAATAGCCCATCTGAGGCCAGCTTAAATGAGTATCAACTCATCAGTCGAGAATCCTTGCATTTAGAGAGTTGCTTTGAGATGTCCATCAGGTGGGGGAATTTTGAACAAAGGGCTAGTGTGTGGGATACTGATCTGTTGACTCCTGGACATGGGGCCATGGGTCTTATTTTTACTCCATCCACGGCACTCCCCTCTGTCCCCCCTGGGACTGAAGCTGTCAGAATCAGCCCTCGGTGCTCTTAGCCGTCTCCCCGGCGCATTGCCTGCACGTTAAGCTTGCACTGAACAGAGGTTGCTAAGCGTCTGCCTGCATATAACAACAAAAGAAAAATCTGCAGATCTACATCAACACTACAGAATATTATTTTAATGCTTTGGACACATTTATATCAGGAAAACAATGATGCGTTTAATATATTATCAATTAAAGATACATTTTCAAACTTACCCTAGCCCTATTTTAATAGCCACCAACATGCAAATTTGATAAATATATTGTTGATAATTTAATATGAAAATACCAGACTTAAGCCTGTGTAGTAATGACATATTTTAAATAAGTGGAAATAGATGCCTTATATTATGCAGCTAGGAAGATATCCTGACAAAGAGCTTGGATTAATCAATTTTATATCCCATTTGTACCTATCCTTTCATAGCACGCTAGTCACCTCATCTCAAATATGTATCTCGACACAGAGGATGTGGACTCCTGGGAAATCAGTTTGTAGCAGCCTTGTACTTAATGCACATGCTATCCACAATCCCAGACACTTGTTTTTCCTGTGATAAAAGTCTATTCTTCATTTCCTGACACATTTGATGGGAAAAAAACACCTGCCGTTACATAATGTTTTATTAATTCCACTTTTGGAATGAATATCCTTCTTGCGTAACCGATTATTCACCAGGGTTGCGGGAAGCTCCTGGCTCTTGCAGGGGAAACCCTGGATGGGCTGTCAGTTTGCCGTAGCAAACACAGACAAAATAATATGGGCAATTTAGAGGCACCAGCTTGCCTGTGGACTACAAGAGGGAACCAGAGATGCAGAAGAAACACTTTAAAACTCAGTGGATTCCAATTCCCAACCCTATAATGCTTACCACTAAAACCATAGTGTCCAACTTCTTGCCAGATGATTAATATTCTATAATTAATATATTGTAATTAATCCACTGCATGCCAGAGCATAGCTTTAAAAAGCATCAGAGCCTTCAACCCCTGTAAGAGGCGACTACCTGCCCCAGTATTAAAAAAAAAACACACACTTCCCCTGTGTCACTGTGCCCAGTGACGGTAACTCATCTCGACGGGGCTGGTGGTGCGTGTTAGCCTTTTCGGCATTAAGGGTTGTCGTTGCATGCCACACGGACTGACCGGTGCGCCGCTTCTTTGCCTTCGCCCTCATTCTAGCATTGAAGCATTTTTTTTTATCAACCTTCCGACCTCTGAATCCAAATGTCCTCCTCAAAAGCCACTGTGTATTTATGTAGCATTTTTTTATATACATCAGCGCACCACCTTTCAGTTAATTACAGGCTCTGAGATTACTTGATTAGTTTAATCAGGTTGCCTGGTGATGGGTTGTAACAGATATATGCAAAGGCAGGCCGGGGAACCCCGGGAACATATCGTAAACAGCCAAAGAAGTGACAATGGTGTCTGATGGAGCTTGATTTATGTGTTTATCTCTAATTACTCAGAAGCTACCCAGATGCAGCTAGTTTGGATGCACAGAGTTTCCAGCATAACCTGCAACAAATGTGACATTTAAAACCAGTATAAACAAAACTACAGGATACAGTTATATAACCGCACATCTCTGGTGTTACTTTATTTGGTTTTTGGTGATTTTTTAAAAGAGAAATAAAAAGCTTCCTGGAAGAATAGTTTTGGATAGAGAGAAGAGGCAGCCTCCAGGTTCGTTGGCGTGGTGGAGCCCTTCTTAAGCAAACCAGAACTCTGGTCTGAGTTTATTTACTAGCCCTTGTGGGATGTCCTCCACCATAGGTGCTGAACCTCTGTCCTCCACCATAGGTGCTGAACCTCTGTCCTCCACCATAGGTGCTGAACCTCTGTCCTCCACCATAGGTGCTGAACCTCTTCCTGGCCCTGCTGCTCAGCTCCTTCAGTGCCGACAACCTGTCGACCACGGATGAGGATGGAGAAATGAACAACCTGCAGATAGCCTTTGCCCGCCTCCACCGCGGCGCTGACTGGGTGCGGCGAGCCGTCTGCAGTCTATTCGAGCATAAACGGCGGAAGAGGAAGGAGGTCAAGGACGGGCTCATGCTGAAGGGCAACGGTGTCCTGGGCCTCATCAATCACCGTGGAGACGGGCACATTGTCGCCGATGGCGACGGCTACACAGCCGCCCCCGAGCTCACCGTGAGTGTGCCCATCGCATCGGGTGAATCCGACGTGGAGTTTCCCGAAGAAGAGGAGGAAGAAGAACAGACCTCAGATGAAGAAGAGGAGAATCAGGTGAGTCATTACACTCTGACTCCGCTCTGGTCAGGGATCCAAAAGGGCCTGCATGACTCCAATCACCGTTATGTTACAGGCTTTATTGGCAGTATGTTTTAGGGTTGCAAAAAATGATAGTTTTGGTTAATTGATTAAACACGTGTTTGGGTGATCAATCAAATGATTATTTGAGCCAAAACACAGGGTTTAAAGAATTGCAAATACTTTATTTGAAAATCATCAAGAGGTATTTTTAAGTCACAGTTGTAATAAAACTTTACAGAATGCAGAGAATCTGTATTTAAAATGACTAAGTAGCATTGCAGTTGCACTGCCTTGACAAGTGAAAATTTGGTAGATGTTGGATACTAACTTCTTTGACGATGCAACATTAAATTAATCCCCAACTATTTATGTTTTGGTCCTACATCAACCCTCCATCAACAAACCCGTCTCTGCCATAAAAAAAATTGTCTCTGCCATATTTAGCTTACTGAAACTTATACTCAACACACCAATGTTAATATTGCTTGGTGATGATGTCATTATATGCAAGTTATGCAGTAAACCACAAAATTACCCCTATTGTATTTGTATTATTCTAGTACAACACATATAATAATCAATAAAACAAAATTGCGGGGCACGTTTCCAGAAGGTTCACTATCAACCACTTCACCATCTCGTTTATCTAATTTGACCAGAGCTTCGAATGTGTAAACCAAGAGAAAGATACTGCCATTGTGCCTAATCACTACACCAAGGTGTGAGGTGCTGATTATTTGAGAGGGCTAATCTGTCTCTGGGCAGGAGAAGAGACTGGGTGAGGGGGGGTGCGGGTGGGGGTGGGGGTGGTTTGTGAATACAAAGCTGTGGACTGATCATGTGGCCTTATCGTTAGATGGTTGTGCGGGAGATCTTTCTGACGCCTGCCTTGTCGGCCTCTGGGAGCGACTCGTCCTTTTGTCACATAGCGAGGGTCACATTTTCAGACATTAGGTGGTCAGCTTGAGAGCGGAGAAGTGTCCCGAGGCCCATGGATCATTCGACTTTGAAAGGTTTATTGTCATTGTGCTGCACACAATGAGATAACATTAATGACATCCTAAGCTGATGTGATACAGATAAATTATTTACTTCATATTTGCATTACATCGGCTTTGAATGTACATTTACATTTCAGTTCTTTTAATAATCCTTCAGGGCTGTTTCCATGCAGTCAAGCAAATTTTTTTTTTCTGGTCAGAATATTACCCAGTGTTAGAGTAATGAGAGAAGCAGTAACTGTGTGCACTTGTAAGTATGGAAGTCTGTCATCTTGAAAGATCATCACTCTTATGGAGTTATTTAATCCACAGTAATACCTCTTCTGTTGCAAGAGATAAGTGTATGACTGGAATTTTATCATTTTACTTTTTTGTACTCTAAAAATGTTGTTGACTGGGGTTTTTTAAGACAAATTAACGGAAGTCCAACTGAAAAGACTAAATAATAATCCATCCATCCATTTTCTGTCCAGTTCATGGTTGTGGTGAGTCTGGAACAGAGACCTCAGCCAACTGTATTTAAATGAAATGAATTTCTCTGTTGTATGTACCTGCTGAAATGGTAAAATTAAGTGAGCACAAGCAGAACACAGGTTTCAGGCTGTACCGAGTGCCCACGGACTCCCTTGGCTGGTATAGTCTATTCCCTGAAGTGGGTAAACCTGTGATTGCTGAATAAAACATTGGGAACAAATTCCAGTGATTGCTATTTTCCTTAAAAGGATATTTTTCTACATTCCCTGCCTAGCAAAAATGAGATGTAGCTGGAGGCCTGTCATCTGTATTAGCGATTAACAGGCCTGCCTGATTTAGTGTTTTTCTGAATACAGGCAATCACTCCACACACGGGGAGTCTTCCAGTAAATGACATCAAGAGGGTCCTGAGTCATAGATTAACATAAAAATGTGTCATTTTTATAATTTACAGTTACAATGGATGAATCCTTAAATGCACAGCAAAGAAAATGTTTGGGTGGGTCTGAAATTGCATACTTACACTGTACATACTGAATTTCAGTAGAAGCCTAGTACTACACTATTAATGTAGAATGTACTGTATGTATTCATAAGAACATGCACCCTGGGATACTGTGGTCAGCAATAACTCACCATCTTGCATATTACCTGACCTGGATGTTTACCAAATGACGTTAAACTATTAAAAACTATCAAGGGGAAAAAAACATTATGTAAGTATATAAGAGTGGGTATTGTTTTCTACTTAAATTTGTACAGAGATAGCACTTCCTCTGCCATCTTGACACATTTCTGAGTGAGCGGCTTTCTTCATTTCTGGTTGTGGCTCCACAGTCCTTCCACACGTAAACATTTTGCAGAATGTAGTATGTCATCTACTGTACATACTACTTATTTACCGTCCCTACCCATTCTAAGGATTCAGACATAGGCCTACTGCTGACTTCGTATACTATATTTCGTCTACTACATAGCAATCAAGTATGGGATATTGGACGCACCCTAAGTCTTCATAATATGGATGCGCGATGACGAAACACACAGCAGGGCCACACCCCTCCCCCGCTGGGCCCGTGAGGTGCAATCAGAGACGGGCAGCCAGCGTGATTATTTCTGATTGTGTGACACATACTTCTGAGTCCCCCCCCCTCCACAGAGCTACGTCCTGCACTCCCCTGTGGCAACCCCCATCCACAGCAGTAGGTGTTCCTGTGAAGCAGCAGTTTGTACAGGGGTGGAGCCACAGGGGCACTGGTTCCAACTGATAGCTGATTGGCCCCTGGAGTACCCACACTCCTGTCACTCACCAGTTCAAAACATTTCATTGGCTAATAAATAGGTTGGCCCCTCTTTATGATTTATGGTCCCCCACTTTAAAAAATCAAAACATTTCCTCTGCTATGATGTGTACCATACTCACTGTCATCTTGTCTTTGTGGCTTTCTGCTTATTTCAGAAACATTATCTGACATGTGTCTTTGCTTCGGCACCATAGCCAAAAGGAATTTAACGGTAGTGCCGGCCTTTTGTTGGCAAATATTTTTTCAGCATCCCATCTGTGTGGGAGCAGCTGTGTGATTTCAAGAGCACTGGATATTCTGGGGCTGGTTAAAGCACCAGTTCAAACGTAGTCTCCACCTCACTGATTTTTAGTGGAAAAGATCTCTGATCCTCTTCCAAAGTATAACAGAGGGCAAAATGGACACTGATGACTGTGGATGAAGGATCCATTCAGGCTGGTTGAATGAATTAGCTACAGTTTTTTTTAATAATCCATGAAAACTTCAGCAGATGCACCCCTTTTTTCACTTTCTGGTTTTTCCTACTGCTTTTTGTGTCAGATTCTGTTCTTCTGCATCTAGCCATGTTTTTTTTTACCTGCTCAGTGACAACATTCAAGAAAACAATGAGACTGGGGGCGTAGATTACAAATCGGTCACTAGGGGCCGTCACATGGGGGTTTATGGGATGGCTGACACCACCCGCCCATCCATTGAGCTTGACGTCTGAGTTGTATCACCATTGAGGTCTAGTTGGTTCTCCGCTGGAACCCCTCCCATAACCGGATGGCCCATTGAGGTCTAGTTGGTTCTCCGCTGGAACCCCTCCCATAACCGGATGACCCATTGAGGTCTAGTTGGTTCTCCGCTGGAACCCCTCCCATAACCGGATGGCCCATTGCACCCTGTCATAATGGGCTGTGGGTGAGACCCATGTAGATCTCACACAGCTGACTGCAGGCAAACTGTTACTAACATCTCAGAAAAACAGCCCCCAAGGCCCCCCTACCTTTCCCCGGAGATCACCCACACAGCCATGCAATAACGACAGACCATACACTAGGCCGAAAGCATCCCAAGATATCTTGGACAACAGAGCAGAGGTACTGGAGACATTTTCAAAGTATGGTTGATTGCTGAAATATGGACCCATGCTCTTCATTCCTTTCTGGAGTTTTCTGTGGGGCTTCGGGCCGTCAGAGGGTAGCAGACGCCAGCGCCGGCCCTGCCAGCCCCCAGCATTTCCTACCGGGTTACACACTTACCACGGCCTTTTATCTCTTGTAGTCACGTGTCTCTCTGTCGCTTCGTATCTTGCCTGCCCCACCGTCTCTCTCTGCCCTTCTAAGGCTTTTTTTGCTCTCCTGCCCCCACCCTCCTTAATCTGTTGGCTGTGACCCGGAGGGAGGCCCTACGTGACTTGTGACTGTAGAGACCCCCCCGCCCCCACCACCACCAGGCCTGCGATGAATGTCCCAGCACTGCTAACTGCCCCGCCCCCATTCAGGGGATGGTCCAGGACGACTGTGCTGCATAAGCAGTCATTCAAAATGGATGGGTTGAAAAAGTAGATTTATCGCAATAATCGGTTGCAATGATGATTAAAATGCAATGTTTTCATGTTTTTCAAATGGAAACCTTGCACTCAGCCCCCAAATCTGTTATTATTGGCCCTCTGCGTTGTCTGTAAGGCCGGATGTATATGCCTGCTAGCACACATCACATACTGTATATTACAACGTTGTGCTTAATTCTGGGCTACACGCTTTGCAACATTCTGTCATGTGATTAAGTTTCAGTTCATTTAGCTGTTCACTGCGATGCCTGTTTAAATCTAAACAGATGCCTGTTTAATGGTGTATTTAAATCAAATAACCAGCTGCCCAACGCCATGATTCCTTTTATAACCGTGGTTTTTAGACATTTCACTTAATTTACCCCAACATTCCTGCTCAGGATAAGTTTTTGGAAGATGTGTAGAAGGATGGACTTTAGTTTACCGTGCCTTAAAGAAAAATATGAATGTTAAATACTGTCAGTAAATATCACCCTAAACAATACAAATGAATAAAGATGTTAGGCTGTTAGTCTCTTATTCTCCTCCTCCTCAACTTTTTGGTACCAAGCTGTTAATTTAGCAAATGCATTTAATTTAACATGCATTTTCATAAACAAATTATCATTTCATTTGTGGTGTCATTTTATGAGCTGTTAT